TTCCATGCCGCCCACCATGTCCCCGGTGGCTCCCCACAGCCTGGCTGCGTTGGGCCGTCTTCTAGGCAGAGGAAAGAACGACTCCGACCTGAGGGAGCCCCGCTGGCCCGGCACATCCCTCCCACGGCCCCGTGCACAGGCTCTGGGCGCCCGCCTCCGCCCCGCATTTCCGAAGAGTCACCTCGGGGCAGCGCCGCGTCCGCCTCCCCCGACAGAGCCGGCCCAGAACACCGCGCCACCCGCAGGGCGGCGGCCGTGAGAGCGGGAGGTCACCAGGCCCCGCAGGGAGGCCGCGGCAGGGCCACGCCAGCGCCCTACAGGCCACAGCGACCCGCACACCAGCCCCGCGGCCGCGGCAGGACCCGGCCTGCGGTCGCCCTGGCTGCTCCGCTTCCATCCCTCCCGCCGTATCCCAGGGGACTGAAGGCGCGCGGTCCCGCGGGAGGCGCAGAGGCGGCGGTGGACGCGGCCCTCCCCGCGCAGGCCCTCGCAGGCTTGTCGGCGGGGCACGCAGCGGCCCGGGGCCCTGGGGGCCTCTAGCCTGAGGCGTGTGACCCACGGACCGCCCAGCGTGTCCCCAGGGGGCGGCCGGAGCCAGTCCCTCCCTCGGCCCTCAGCCCCGCAGACCCCGGCGGCCTCCGTGCTGGGCGGGCAGCGCAGGACGGAGCTCTGCGCGGGCAGGCGCAGGACGGAAGGCTCCCTGGAGGCGACGGCTGCGGAGGTCGGGGTCGCGCTCCCGGGGCCGGCAGCAGCACGGGGCACCGTGGGCCAAGGCAGGCGGCCAGGGCGGGGCGCCCCGCAGAGCTGGGCAGCCACGGGGCACGCCCGGGCCCGCGTCCCCCCTCCCCGCGCCGGCTCACGCGCCCTCGGACGGGGCGGTCTGCGCGCGCCGCCGGTTCCGCCGCGACCCAGGGTCCCCTTTAATAGTTCGTCCCCCAGCAAAGCCCTCTGTGCGCCCCGCCGCAGGCCGAGCACGGACCGCCGCCCGCCGCCCTCCGGAAACGACCGCGGCCGGCCGGCGGCGAGCGCGGAAACCCGACCCCGCGCCGCGCTCCGGGCCGGCGCTGCCCCGCGCGGCCGCCCGCAGCACTGCAGGCCCGGGGCGGGGCGCCGCGGCCGATCTCCTGGTTCTCGGACTCCAGGGCGCGCGGTGGGGAGCGAGCCTCCCGAAGCCCGAGGCTTGCCGGCCCGCGCGCTCCCAGGGCGGCCGGCGGCCCGGTTCCGTCGGCTGTCGCGCCCGCCGTGTTCTTCGACCGCAGGCCAGAGGTCACGCCGGAGAGACCCGGCGAAGTGGAGCGTCAGGGCACAGACACGCGGAGCAGAAGAGCTGCGACTGCTTTACCCCAACTCCGAAAACGCGCGGGCCGGCCGCTGGGCCCCCAGCCTCCGCGTGCAGTCTTGGGGCGCAGGCGGCCGGGTGGCCTTTGACCCACAGGGCGGCCCTGCGGTCCCCCCAAGATGGCGGCTGGAGCCAGTCCCTGGTCCTTCGGCCCGGGAAGACCCCTGAGGGCCTCCGTGCTGGAGCGGAACTCTGCCGCAGGCAGGCGCAGGACGGAAGGCTCCCTGGAAGAGGTGGCTGCGGACCTGAAGTCGGGCTGCAGGGTAGCAGCACAGGGCACCGTGGGGTGCTGGAAACAGCATGCAGAGAGTACCCACTGCGGGCAGGGCGCTGGCTGTGCCAGGGGCCGCGCTGGAACCCACAACAGCCCTTTAGTGTGCGTTTCTGCCGGCTTTCAAGAGATGACCTGAAAGCTCAGGCCGCGGTGCGGGCAGCTGCAGGAAAGCCATCCGGCCCACCCTGCTCCCCAGGGCCCACTGGTTGGTGGCGCGTCTCACTGTCCTCTGAGATCCTAGAAACTCACCCACCGCCTTGGAGTCCCAGGTGTAGGTGCAGGTGCAGGGCTTAAATCCAGATGCAAGATTCAGTGAAGTCCCCTAGCAACCTAGGAAGATTTTCTTCCTCCTGAGAGAATTCTAGAAAGAGATAGATTCTGGCTAACTAAGGGGTTCCCTGTCAGCCATTCTGGCAGGCGGGAACTGTGACAAACAGCTTCTCTGGTCAGGTGTTGCTCCATGGGTCAGGCTGCCCCAGCACCTCTCAGGGGTGGCCACACACTGTGACACCTTCTTCTTCCCTGCCAGGCCTGGCTCCCTGCTGGGACAGTGGGGTCTCACAGGCCACGAACAGATGGTTTCGCTGGTTTTCAGAAATGCTCCAGCTTTCTCTTGAATGCTCTGGGCCCACACTCCCTCTTGGTGGCAGTGCCTGTTGTCAGGAGCTGAGGAGTGGCCGCCAGCCTGGCCTGGGGGCCACGAGATGAGTGCAGGGGTGGGGAAGGGCAGGACTCTGGAGCCAGGCAGCTGTGGATCGGGGTCCCAGCTCTGCTGACTCTCACAGAGAGGAGCTTGGTCAGCCCTGGAGCTGGGGTCTTAACCCCTTTGAACCTCAATTTTCTGTTAAATGGGTTCCATAGCATATACTGAGGCTCACTGAAGGTTTTGGACGGGACACAGCTACATTGGGTGGCACCCAGCAGTTCTCCAGAAAGAGCAGCCTCCATTGTGACTGACAAGTTGGTAGGGTGCTACCATCCCGGCAGGGACACCTGGTGGTAGTCCCTGGGCAGGTCTGCCCCCAGGTTGGCTGCTGCCTCCAGGCCCACGCAGGAAGAATCCACAGGCCTTAGTCACAAGCCAGGTCAAGCAGGTGCAGGGAGCAGCAGGCAGAGCCAGGCACACTGTTGTGCCGGCCACACCTGGTCCAGGGGACCTCGCCCCACTCCTCACTGGAAATGAAGCATTTGAGGGGAAGCCTGCCCAAGGTGGCCCCAGGCCTCCCTGGCGGGGGACAGTGTTAAGGCAGCCTATACGCTGAGTGGGGCCTTTGGGGCCCCAGGTCTCAGGGAGAACCACCACACGCCACCTCGCAGGCTCGAGGCTACTCTGAACTGTGTCCAGGGTGCTGCCTCTGTCTGTCCACAGAGAACAGTCCTTCTGTCCCTTTTGAAAATCACATGCTCCCTTCCTAGTTGGGTTCTGCCGTGTCGGTGGGTTTGCTTCCGGAGGGACGTCTGGTGTGACCTGACACGGTCCTTCCGGAGGGACGTCGGTGTGACCTGACACGGTCCTTCCGGAGGGACGTCGGTGTGACCTGACACGGTCCTTCCGCGTCCCTGTGACCTGACACAGTCCTTCCGGAGGGACGTCGGTGTGACCTGACACGGTCCTTCCGGAGGGACGTCGGTGTGACCTGACACGGTCCTTCCGGAGGGACGTCGGTGTGACCTGACACGGTCCTTCCGGAGGGACGTCCCTGTGACCTGACACAGTCCTTCCGGAGGGACGTCAGGTGTGACCTGACACGGTCCTTCCGGAGGGACGTCCCTGTGACCTGACACGGTCCTTCCCGAGGGACGTCGGTGTGACCTGACACGGTCCTTCCCGAGGGACGTCCCTGTGACCTGACACGGTCCTTCCGGAGGGACGTCGGTGTGACCTGACACGGTCCTTCCGGAGGACGTCCGGTGTGACCTGACACGGTCCTTCCGGAGGGACGTCCCTGTGACCTGACACGGTCCTTCCGGAGGGATGTCCCTGTGACCTGACACGGTCCTTCCGGAGGGACGTCCCTGCGACCTGACACGGTCCTTCTGGAGGGACGTCGGTGTGACCTGACACGGTCCTTCCGGAGGGACGTCCGGTGTGACTTGATACGGGCTTACCAGCTTTACTGAGGCCCGGCTGACACGCTGTCGCTGCTCTCAGGCCCCCAACAGAACAGAAGTCAGGCCACCCCAGGCAGGGCAGGTGTGGACACTCACACACAGGCCTTGCAGCTACCCTTCCTCCCAGAGGCCACCCCGCTGTCCTGCCCCTGGGAGATTCCGGACAGGCCGCGCCACATCCCAGCTATCTCCTGCTCCCCTGAGGGTCTGTGGCCTCCGAGTGCAGCCGGGACCCCAACGGGGCCGGGCTGGGGGACCCAGGCTGGAAACCACCGCAGGCAGGACAGACCCTCCCGTCGACTCACGAAAGCCAGAAGCTTTTGTGAGCTTTCCGTCACAAGTTTTAAATGTTCAATTTTTTATAACTTTTCAACTGGAATATGTAATAAACATGGAGGAAAAAAAGAAGGCACCTTAGCTGAAATTCCCTTCAAACAAGGAGGGACCGCACAAAGCTGGTTCCTAGGCCTCAGCAGACATTCCAGCACGTCTTCACCGCGGGGTGCGAGTTACTGTCCCAAAGCCAAAGCGGGTGGCGGAGTGGGAGGGCTCCGACCAGGCCGCGGCTGGCGCCCAGGCCTCCCTCTCCGCCCAGGCCTCCCTCTCCGCGCCCCCCACTGCCCGCTGGTCCCTACGAGTGCATCGCAGCCCGCGGTGGGCTGCGACTCCAGAGCGCCCAGCCTGCGAGGTCCCGGCCTTTCCTCCCGCGGGGCGCCGGCGAGCGGGCCCTGGGGAGGAGGGGACCCGGGCCCAGAGGCGCCGGCCGCAGCGCGCTCCGGGCCCCAGGAGTGCCGCCCACACCTCGGCTCCACGACCCCAGTCGGCCCCGCGCCTCTGAGGGCGACCATCGCTCCCAGCCCGCGGCTGCCCGCCTCCGAGCTGCCGCGCCTCCGCCCCCGCGCCCCGCGCCGGCCAGGCCCCAGGCGCTCCGGGGGTGGGGCCAAGGCTCGCGCGGCCGCGACGGCAAGAGCGCCGCGGGGCGGGCGGGGGCGGGCGGCGGGCGGGCGGCGACTGCGGAGACGCGGCGGCGCGCGGGCGGCGCAGAGCGTTCTCGGCGCCGAGCGGAGCGGGCCGGTGCGGGGCGCGGGCGCGCGGTGCTGGCTGGGCCGAGCGGCCGAGCGGGAGCCGAGCGGGAGCCGAGCCCGGGCAGCTGGGGCCGGGCGGGAGCAGCCATGGCGTCGCGGAGGGCCGCCCGCGCCGCTGTGGGCGGCCTGGGCGCCGAGTAGCCGGGCCGGGCCGGAGCGCGGGCGGCGGCGGAGGCAGCTGCGCCCGCGCCCCCCGCCCTCCCAGGCCCCGTGCCCCGCGCCCGGGCCCCGGCGATGGTGACACATGCGGCGGCGGCGCGCCGGCGGCAGGACCATGGTTGAGCACGCCAGCAAGTTCGTGCTGGTGGTGGCGGGCTCGGTGTGCTTCATGCTCATCCTGTACCAGTACGCGGGCCCGGGGCTGAGCCTGGGCGCGCCCGGCGGCCGCGCGCCGCCCGACGACCTGGACCTGTTCCCCACGCCTGACCCGCACTACGAGAAAAAGTACTACTTCCCGGTGCGCGAGCTGGAGCGCTCGCTTCGCTTCGACATGAAGGGCGACGACGTGATCGTCTTCCTGCACATCCAGAAGACGGGCGGCACCACCTTCGGCCGCCACCTCGTGCAGAACGTGCGCCTCGAGGTGCCCTGCGACTGCCGGCCGGGCCAGAAGAAGTGCACCTGCTACCGGCCCAACCGCCGCGAGACATGGCTCTTCTCCCGCTTCTCCACGGGCTGGAGCTGCGGGCTGCACGCCGACTGGACCGAGCTCACCAACTGCGTGCCTGGCGTGCTGGACCGCCGCGACCCCGCCGCGCTGCGCACCCCGAGGTGAGCGCCCGCCGCGGGGGAGCGCCGTTGGGCCAGGGTGGTGGGGTCCTCGCGAGCTACTGCGCCCCCGAGCCACGTCCCCTCTGCTTCCCCCACCCCCACCCGCCCTCCTCTCCTGTCCTTTTGGGACCCCCTCTCACTACAGCCCCTACAGACTTGCCGTGTGCCAGAGGCTCCTGGGTCGTCTCTTCTGGCCGGCTGACACCTTTGCTCTCTGACCTCGCTTGCACCTCTTGCTTCTCTTGACCCACCACCGGCCTGGCTGCGCACTGCCCGGGTTTCCTCCTGGGTCACTGCCCACTGGGTGCCTCATCTGCTGTATCCCGTGAGATCTGGCCCACAGGCCTCAGGGGGCTGCCATCAGGGAAGCGAATCCCTGCGTGTGTGTAGCCCACCGGGAGTGTGTGCTTCCCCGAGGTGTTCCAATACTGAAAGTGGAAGTGAGAGTAGTGACATGTCTCTCTCCCTGCACCTGTGGTGCCCCAGCTCTGGGGTCCCAGCCTGCTAGCCTGCCTTGGGGGCAGGAGGAGCTGCTAGGGAAGGGGTTTGGCTCTGCCTGCCTGTGTGTGTGTGCAGGTAGAACAAAGGCCGAGTGACCTGGGGCTGGGGGCAGGGAGGAGGCAGTGCTGCCTGTCCTCCCCTGTGGGCCTAGCAGCGAACCCTTCCAGGTACAAGCTTGCCTTGAAAAAAGAACAAAAGCCAGACAATTGGGGCTGGCTTCTCCTGGAACCCACCAGCCAGGTGGGGGGAGCTGAGCTGGTAGAGGGGCACCTGTGCAGCCAAACACCTACCTGGGCGTTCCCCATGTCCCCCAAGTCTGTGGGGGTTGAGCAGCGCAGAGCTAACCTGCGTGTGGACGCTGGCATGGAGGAGGTGCCAGGGCAGCTCTCCTAGGAAGTAGTTTGTAGCAGAGCCTGGGGCGTTGCTGGGTTTCCAGCAGTTAAAGTTGAGATTATTCTCATCCTGTTCCTGTTGGTGTTCTCCAGTCCTGCAGCGGCCCCTTGCAGGGCCTTCTCCCTGGAAGGCTGGGTAGAGAGAGCAGGAGCAGGTCTTCTTGACTGCCTTTTGTTTTTCTTCCACGTTTGCCTGAGGACTGAATTTGCAGACAGGCTGGGGGTGGGCGAGTCTGGGCCACTGTGGGGGTGTTGGCCTGCACTCAGGTCAGCAGGCGCAGGCTCTGAGGTGTGTTGGGGTAGCCTCAGTGGCCCAGCCAGCCTGGAGCTGACCCGAGCCATGGCACGGCTCCTGCACAGCCGCAGATTCTTGTCCATGGTCTTTCTCAGGCTGTCAGGAAATCAGGGTCCTGGAGTTGGGGGGATCTTCCCACTTTCCTTTGCTGTGCCCTCCTGCCCCCCACACACACAGCAGCTCCCGGCCTGGGAAGTGATGTTCTCGGTCCCTTTTAGGCCACGCTCCACAGCTCCACACTTGGCAGTCACAGAGCTGCCTGTCTAGGGCCCTTGAAGCATTGCTTCCGGCCCAGCACTCGGTCTGCTCTGTACAGATGAGCCTTCCCGCTACAGAACACAGCCCCACCCGCCCCACCCGCCCCCACGGTCCAGCGGCCTGTGCTAGACTGACTTGGGCCTAGGGACCAAAGCCACACCCCCACCCACCCTTCTGCCAACCAGGGCTGTAGGCTCCCAGAGCTGGGCACTGACTGACCCCAAGAAACCCAAGAGGGTACCTCCCTGCCCACAGGAAGTGGGGGTGTCTGCCTGAGGGGATTAGTGTGGAAGCCCCAGAGGGGGAACATGCCAAAGAGGCCAGAGCCTTTGAAGCGGGCTTGCATGGTGGAGGCAACCTCAGTCCTGGACTATAGTTAAGATGCTCTTCGTGCAGCTGGGCCTCCCTGTGGGTCCCCAGTGTGAAAGGTCCCTGGCCTCCTTTCTCCAGAGTTTTGTCAACCAGAGCAAGAGCCCCAGCCACCCTCATAGCCAGGAATGGAAGGACCTGGCAAGGCAGACAGACTACAGGGGCTACACAAGGGAGGCCCTGGCACCCTCTGCCCAGGGAGCATGTGTGGGGCAAGAGTGGAAGACACAGATGCCTCATGCTGCAATGGGCCACCCCCCACTCAGCCTGGAAACTGCTGCCTCAGCAGCAAGCGGGCTGCCTGAGGGAGGGGCTTCCAGGACGCTCAGGAGGCCCCCTCTGTCACCAACCAGGCAGGTGACAGTACCCTGCCCTCCGCTCCCTTCATTTCTGTTCTAGGCACTAGATAGATTGCTTTTTTAATGAGCTTCCTTGGAGGCCAGGGTAATCTTGGCTTTGTGTGTTTAAAGCGGGGCTGCACCTTGCTCCACCTACTGAGGACTCCCCCACCCCCTGCCCACACCCAGGCTGGAGCTGGGCCCCAGTGGGATGCCTGGTGTCAAGTGGCTCCTGGTGTCAGGAGGTTCAGATGTCACCCTGTCTGCCTCCGTCCTGCCCTCCCCAGGGCTGTGTGGGTGTTGGAGTGACCACCTGGCTGCTGAGCTGAGGAGGGGGTGGGCCTGGCTCTGCAGGGGGCCCTGAAGCCCTCTGGGGACCAGAACCCTCTCCTCCTCCTCTTTCTGTCCTGCCTGCCTGTCCCTAGGCAGGCTAAACTCTCCACCAAGCCGCTTCTAGCCCCTGGCGGCAGTGTCTGCGGTTTTTGAGGGCCTAGGAAGGTGGGGGGCCTGTGCAGCGGGGAAGTGCTCGCCACTGCATGGCGCCAGCCGGGGCTGCTTCCAGCTGGACATACGTTCTGGTGACAAACAGAGATGGCTTTCAGCGTCTTCCCGGAACATGGTTTGGAACTTCTGGTGGCTGTTAATGCTTCCTGACTTGGTAGAGAGGAACAGGTGTATGAGCAAAGTATTGGCAGGTCCCCATTTGGTCCTGTGTCCGCTGAGGGACCTGCCTCATCTTCAGACATCAGCCGGGTTACTTGTAAGCCCGCCCAGGAAGGATGGCTCACTGGCGGGCCTTGGAGAGGTGTGACTGCCTGCAGGCAGCAGCCAGGTGGCCCACTGTTACCAAGGGTCGCTCTGATTGGAATGTCTCAGCACCACACAATCCAGTGTCATCTCCAAAGGTCCGGATGGTGCTCCTGGAGCCAGAACGTCCCTCCTTCCTCTCCCTGCCAGCAACACAAGAGGAGACACGGTGAAGATCCTGCCTGGGGGCCCTGAAATCATGGAGGCTTCATTTGGGGCCACAGAGGCCATTTAGGGCCCAAGTGTGGCTTCTAGGCCACCTTGCCTGAGGTCCTGGGCTCAGCCCTTGTCCTCCCCACAGCAGGGCCCCTCTGGTGGACTCCCGGCCTCTGGGATGTTGCCCTGCAAAGACTGTCTTTCCTGAACAAGGGAGGGAACCCAGGAGCTCTGGCGTGGCGGTGTGCCCTCTCTGTGCCTGCAGCATCGTCTTTGTGTGCCCTCCCCTCCCTCTGTGATCCTGAAGTCTTCTGAGGCTTCAAAACCTGCCTGGGGCTGAGCACAAGCTGCAGGCCTCCCCGTCCCCCACGGTCCTGCCGCCCTTCTTCTCACTTCAGTCTCCACTCAGAACCCCTCCTCCAGGAAGCCTTCCCTGGCCTGTGTTCCGGGGCTCCCCTGCTGCCTTAGGTGCCCTTAACTGTCCTCCCGTCTGCCACCCCGGCACCTGCAGGGAGCCTTGGCACTGGCCGCAGCCCAGTGCTGAGTGGGTGCTGCACTGTCATATTTTCCTCCTGGTCCCATGGCTTGTCCAGGATCTGGGCTCTGTGTGTCAGGTTCACGGCCTCGGCCTCCAGTGCCGACTGTTCCCCGAGAGCCTCAGCTCCTCCGCGGGCCGTGCCAGCGGTGGCAGGCTTGGAGCAGAGCATTTCTGAGACAGCGGTTTCTGTGGCACACGATTTCCAACTTTCCTTCATAATTACTTTCTTCTTTGAGATCAAGGGACAAAACCCATGTCCTTGAGGTAGGGACAGATGTGACCCAGAGCATGTGACTAGGCCGGCGAACAGGACTGGGGGACCTGGCAGGGGTGTACCACAGCCTGCATTGCCTGGAGAGGCCTTTGGTGGAGACAAGAAGGGAATCTGAGGTCAAAATGTTCCAAATTAGGTTTCCACCAAAAACAAAACCAAAAAGAAACTCTTCTTTTTAAGCAGATACACGAGAAGGCAAACTCATGAATGGTTTACTGACAGAGTCATTTTAGGTGGTTGTCTTGCCTGTGAGGTCACCTCTGCCATGTCACTTAAGTTGTCTCTAAGCACCAGAGGACCCGCCAGGCCACGGCCTCCTATCCTAGGCACTTTGCATGTAAAACCTGGTCGTGCGGAGCCGTGGTGTGGCAGGTGGCTCTGCCCTGGGGCCTTGTCGTCTTCTGGGTCAGAGAGCCCTTTCCCAGGGGCACAGTGTCCCCTGGCCCTGCAGCCGGTGAAGCCCTGCCATCCCTGGAGCCAGTCCTGGTGTCTTCCCCAGAGGGAGGCTCGGCTGCCATGCAGGGGGGGCGGGGGGGGGGGGGGCCTGGCTGTGGTCAGCGGCCACATTGCAGCTGGAGTCCTCCAATGTCCAGTAGCAATGGGAAGAGAAGGGGCCTGGCTTTATCGTGGACACAGGGCAGCGTCTTTTCCTTTCACACCCCCCTCTTTTGTTGTTGTTTTAATAACTGTTGGGCAGATGAGTAGGAGGAAGGTATGAGACCCAGGGAAAAAAGAAAATTCCTTTCATTTCCCATGCATAGTTTTTCCATTATAATGAAAGCCGTAGTACAGATACACCATAAATGTTGCTTCATGTCATTAAAATCTTAATGTTTTAGTGGCTGCAGACGCTGCCCGCCCTGGGTGCACCCTAGCTGGCCCTGGTGGTGGGGCGTGCAGGCTTCGGTTTGTCTTCCGTAAGGAATGCTGCGGTGTACGTCCTTCTATGTAAATATTTTGCACGGCTCTCATTTCCTAGGAAATTCCTAGGAGTGGAATCTCTGAGTTGAATAGTCTGAACATTTTAATGCTCTCAATATAGATGTTAAATTACTTTTCAGAACGCCTACAC